TTTTTTTCCCTAAACTTAACTTTGTCCTCTGTTCTGACAATACCTTAAGAAGATGTAAGAGACACCAGACATTTCATACCACAAACACCAAACAGGAGCAAAGAGACTATCTACACCAGGATGTGACAGGCACCTGGCTTTATCAGGTTCCCCCAAAAAGATGACACCTACAAATAAGCAGGAAGCTTATTTGAGAATCTGCCATCCCAAATCCTTTAACATGTTATGCCTAACCTCCTGCCCTTTTATTACAAAAAAGAGATGGGAATGCTATGATCTGCCCTGTCCTTTTAAGAGACAAGCCCTGCCCACACCCTCTCCTGTCCATATGCGGATCTTCCTTCAGCTTCCAGTCTGAGTACTTCCCTTCCATTTCTCTCCCAAAGAGGTAGCTGCCGCCATGGCTCCTTTCTTTTCCCCTCCCTCCCACATCTCTCTTCTTCTCTTTTTTCTCTCTCTCTCTGCCTCTTTCTCTTCCTCTTCCCTTTTCCCTTTCCTTCCATAACCCACTAAATAAATATCCAAACTCACTCTGCAAGGCATACCTATTCATCTCTGTCTCTCACCCACCACAGCTATGGCCCCTCATGATACTGGCTGCCCCACCAAAGTCTCTCACCCACCACATGGCTCCCTGCCTGGGATCCGCTGTCACTAGTGGGTCACTTGGGGAACAGCGGCATTTTATTTATTCCATTACAGGAAGCACTCACCTTCTTGATTAACTTTATTCCTATACATTGTTTAGACTGCTGTGGGTGTTTTTTATTTTAATTTCTTCCTCAAAAAATTTGTTACTACTACTCAAAAAAATTATGGGGTTTTGTACGGCTTTGTATCTTTCTACTTCGCTAAAAGTGTTTATCATACCTAAGAACTCTCTGGTAGAAATTTTAAGATGTTTAAATAGGTCCACTACTAAAAAGGATAAATTTGCTTCTTCATTTTCTGTCTGTACCCATCCTATTTCTTTTGTCTTGTTGATCACACTAAAACTTAAGGTATCATGTAAAATGAAAGTGGAGGAAGCAAGCACCTTGTAATTCAGATTAGAAAAGAAATGCTTTCAATACTTGCATATCAGATATGCTATCAGTACTATGCTATTAGTACCTTATAGAATTAGATATGCCGGCTTATTTACAGCTTCCCTCTGCTTGGTGGGTCATTTCTGTCCTCTGATTTTCACTTTTTGGATATTTCTTCAGCATTTCTTAGAGACAAAAAGTAGTTGGTCTTTTTTTTCCTTAAATTTTTTGCTGTTGTTGTTTTTTACCTGGTCAGTTAGTCTATCTCTTTTAACTGGACAGCTTAAGGCACTTTTATTTAAGATTATTGTTGAGAGGTCTTTGTTCTATTCATGATTTTGCTCTATCTGGTTGAATTACTACTTATTTTATTCTTTCCCTATTTGTATTACCGATTTGTTGGTTTGCCTTCTCCTGAAATGCATTCTTTTCTGCACTATTATGGATTATATTGGTTTCATTATTCCTTTGTTGTATAGTAATCCTTAAATATTTTCTGAGGTGCTAGCTTTGTTGTCATTAGTTGCTTAATTTGTGCTTGTCTTGAAAAATTCTTATTCCTCCATCAACTTTTAGAGATAATTTTGCTGGATATAGCAACTTGTTGTGAACCTTGAAGTACACCATCCCGTGCTTTCTTGCATTTAGGCTTGATTATCACAGATCTGATTTATTCTGATGCTTTTGTGTGGAAACTAATATTTCTCTTCCATTATTAATATTGTTTTTTTATATTTTTGAAAACTTGACTATTACATGTCACAGAGAAGTTTTTCTCTGGTGCTATCCTCTGTGCAGAAAATGCATCTAGATTGTGTATCTGCATTTCTTTCTGTGGGCTTGAAAAATGTTCTGTAATGATTTCACTAAGCTAATTCTATGCTTTTATTCTTTATTTCAGCCCCTTCTTCATTCCATAGATTCTTACATTTGATCTATGAATGTGTCCCATAGTTATCGAACATAATTTACTCATTTATCTATTTAGTTGATCTATTTGATCACTTATCCATTATAAAAGAGAATTTTAAGTTATTTTATTGAAACTTCATTTTGTCTAGTATTGAGAATCTGTGAACTTAGGGAGGAATCATGGTAACTTATTTCCTCCTACTGTGTATGTGTGTGTGTGTGTGTAGTGTATAGTGTGTTTCTTTCTTGTGTTTTGCCTGTCTTTGAGATACATGTGCCCTCCAGTGTTTATATTTATTTTGTCTCTTCTCCTATTTTTTTAATCTGATTGTCTTATTTTCTGTGAGTCTTTATGGTTGTTAGAGTTAGCCATTTTTCCTGAGTTTGAGACCAGAGGTTTACAGTAGAGGACAGAATATGCCAACTGGGATAACTATGTTAATAAGTACTTGTGAGTAGGGCCTAAGGAAGACCAGCATTCACAATATATTTTGCTATTTTAAATAGGCACCTCAGTTAGCCATTTTGAGTTTGAGACCTAAGAGTTAAGTCCCAAAGAAACTCAGAACAAATGGCTGAGGTACTAATAACATATCAAGACAGACTCTGGTTACCAGGTCTTCTCAGCTTCAGGAGTACCTGTTAAAGAGTCCTAGTTCCTCTCAGCACTTCCCATCCCCAGGCCCTATCCTGAACCTCTCCCGTCCCTGAGCTTGCTTCCTTTCTCCCATTTCTCATTCATATATAAAGCAGCCTTTTCAGCCACCCACTCTCTTGGTTTCTCTGGGCGCTCTTAGTTCTCCTCTTGGCCTCTTGGTTCTTCTTCCTTTCCTGTTCCCCTCTCCTGCCCTTCCTTCCCTTTTCTCTTTCTCTCTTGTTTCTCTCTCTCTCTCTCTCTCTCTCTCTCTCTCTCTCTCTCTCTCTCTCCCTCTCCCTCTCTCTCCTCTCATTACCTGGTTCAGTTGACTAGTCATGTCTAGTCCATTGCAGCTTTCTCTAGCTGCTCTAGAGACTCCCAGGTGCCTTTGGTTGTTCTCAGCCTTGTAACTACAATAACAAAAAACTTCTCCTCAACCGTACCTTGGAGCCATTATGTCCTGATTTTCATTCACTGATGAGATTTCACTTAGACTTTTTATAGTTCATGACTATCTAGAGGGGTGTGTAGACTTCTTTAACCAATATGGAATTCAGTTTAACTTGTAGTAGAAGGCACTTGAATCCTGCAAATGCATCTCCAATAAGAGTAAGAGATAATGGCACTAGCGTAGTGACTGAAGGTAGACTACAGTATTTTTAGAGCTAAGGATATTGAAAACTAAGCAGTAAGAAAAGACTTAGAAAAGAAAATAGATAAAGCATGAGTTAGAATTAGGAGACTTTAAAAAAGTAACATAGAGTAAATGCAGGAAAAAGAAAAGGCAGTTATGACCACAATCATTCAGAAAAGACACAATCTAAAACAAAGTCACTAAACATCTAAAGTGAAAAGAATAAATAATAAGATAAATGATATTTTAAAATTAACAAAATTAAATAGAAGATATTAGAATATCTGGTGTGTGTGTGTGTGTGTGTTAGTTAATTTGGATAGAGAATTCAAGGAAAAAGGCTTTTCTATGGAAGGGATGCTTTGATTGGTAAGAAAGGATACATTGCTCAAATTAGCCAGGACAGGAAAATCTGTCATTATGTATGATTTGGAAATCTTTGTGGTTTTTTTGTTTTGATGTTGTGTGCTGTCTTATCATAATGTGGTGGCCTGCTACATTAGTAGTTTCTTTTCTATTCATTCCTACTTTTTTTATTGAGCTATACATTTTTCTCTGTTCTCCCCCTCCTGGCCTTCCACTCCCCATACTCCCAATTTACTCAGGAGATCTTGTCTTTTGCTCCCTCCTATGAAGATATATGTATCTGTCTCTTAAGGTAGCCTTTGTTGTCTCGGTTCTCTTGGGTTGTGGACTGTAGGCTGGTTTTTCTTTGCTTTATGTCTAAAAGCAACTTACGAGTGAGTACATATTATATTTGTCTTCTTGCTATTTCTCCTGGTTGGGCATGGGAACTAGATGGAAAGCCCCTATTGTTGAAGACAGCACACATTTGGATGTAGGACATGGAGAATCGGACTGGAGCTGAGATAGGGACTGTCTGTGTGCAGAGCTTGTGCTGTCTTTTCTCAGAAATAATAGGTATTTCTCCATTAATAAGATTCTTTGACTTTGAATTCCCTAAGTGATACTTTTAGACAATTGAAGATGTCAAAACAACCATTTAAAATCTATTAATAATATATGTGTGTATGTATGTGTGTGTGTGTGTGTGTGTGTGTGTGTGTCAAACGTTCCCTGTAGCACTGCTCTTTGATTGGCTCATTTAGTACAAACACTAGTGACGAAAACAAAGTGATCTAGTGACATATTAGCATTGTTATAACAATCTTGGTTTATTTGAAATTGATATGTATTCAGTGCTATAATCTGTAACTTCTTAAAATTTGTGTTTAAAATTGATTCCTCAGGACCTATGTTAATGGTATCTTGCAATGGAGTCTTTGGAGATAATTAGGATTGTATATAATCATGAGGGCACTTAACCCTCATGGTATCTGTAGTAGCTTCATTAGATGAGGAAGAGAGACATAAGGGAGCAAACCTGCTCCACCTCAGCCAGTACTTCTCTGTCTACCTGGGGACATAGAGATCCCAGGCAGCCAGAAGGTGCCCCCCAGGTGCAGCTCCTTCGCCTGGGACTTCCTAGCCTCCAAAACACATAAGGAACTCATTTCTTTAATTTATAAATCACCTAGTCTGTGGCATCCAGTTATAGTAACAGAACATATGATAAAACAATATTAAATATGATAAATAAGAGAACACTGGTATTCCTAGGGGTTCAGTTGAACAGAATCACTCATAGTTTGCATTAGACATCTGGGCTCCCTGTCACTCCTTAAAAATTGAGGTTTTTTTTTTAAGTGTTTGGGCTTTACGCAAACCAACCAGAAGGTGGCAGAGTGGCTACTAGAGAGAAACCAATCAGAAAAAAAGCCTTTCAGGAAAACGTCTTCTCACATCTGAGAATCGAAACTGCAATGGAGACAGCTTTATTTTTTTTTTCCACTTCCTTAATCCCTGTCAGCATCAGACACACCCTGGTACTTTTCAGCCGCGTGAGCTGGTACCAAGGTAGAAGTACTGTCTGGTAAAGCTTTCATCAAGACTAAATGAAGGCGTTTTTCTCTGACATCTCGGGAGGAAGAAACTACAGAGACCAGACATTTGCTGCACCCAAATGGTCAGCTTTTCCCTTTTTTTTTCAAACATAGAAGAAATTTGAACGTTTCGGTAAGTACAAAATCTCTCCTATTATTGTTGTTATTATTGGTGTCTACAGCAACTGATTATTGAACAAGCAGAAATATTGTTTGTGGCTAAAAAGTTTAAATGTGCTTTAAAACAAAACTAATAATATTCTGAACCTAGATCATCTGGACCATGTTGTGTTGAGAAAGGAGTCTGTTTTACATTAGTCACAGTCTTCTATTGAGATGCAGTTGGAAATCAGGGACACTTCTACTAATATCTCCCAAAGAAAAGCAGCATCTTGAGAAAGAAAAAGATAAATGTTTTAATGCTTACATTTCTTGAAATACACAGGCCCTAAGTCACTCTAAGGACAGGCAGTTTAGAAATGGAGCTCTTGATAGCTTTTGGAGAGTAATGTCAGATCAGAGCCCTCTGGGAGAGACAGGAAAGGCTGATTTGCTAGTGCTTCCTCTCATAAGTTGGGAATAGGGGTGCTTCATGTTCCTGGTGGGAGTAGAAGGCTTATGTCTGATTTCCCCCCAAAGTAACTGATGATGTCACTCAAGGGGAATGTGTTGCTGAGTTTTGACCTCCTTCAGAAAAGCTGAAAACACAGTCAACCCGACAAATCCTAAGTGTGTGTCAGGATTTTATATCTGTGTGATCCTGCAGCACCTTTCAGGGTTCTTTTATAGACACACGGCGTCTAAAGAAACTCTTACTACAGTGACTTGTAGAGAGTTTTGTCTCCTAGAGAACTCTCCTTAAGTGGCCTCCTTGGTAGCACAATTACAGCTACAAAGTAGCAATGAAAATGCTTTTATGGGTGAGGGTCACCATAACATGAGGAACTGTGTTAAGAACACAGCACTAGAGGGGCTGAGAACCAGTGCTCTAGAGAAACAGTGTGGAAAGTGAAATCTGTTCAGCTGCATTACCTAGGAGTGAAAACAGTGTAAATTCACCCTTTTAATTCATTTGCTTACTTTCTCAACCAAATATTCCAGCCAAGATCTCCATGCCTCCACCTCTGACATGGAGACTACACTTTATACTCAGATATGTTTATGGCATGCAGCTCAGGCACAGATGAGTCACCTGACTCATGACTCCACCTTGTACTTTTATGTCACTACACCCGAAGGGGTGGAGACCACGAGTGTATAACTAGGAAAGGTTTTCACTGATAACATTAGAGAGACTCCTGGTGTCCTGATAACATTGGCACCACAACCTTGGTCCTGTACTCAGAAGCCTGGGCACACCAGGCAGCTGGATGGCCATCATGGCTCACACATCATGTCTCAGGAGAGAGAGGGCAGCAGAGGTGACCTGGGCAGAGCAGAGAAAGCAGGTAGTATTTGAGCTCAGAGCCAGACAGTTGCCTGTGAGTGCATGAGGCTTTGCTCTCATACGGGAGTCACAGTGGTCAGTGGGGTCAGGTGTCAACAGCTGCAGACTCAGTAAAGACACAGTCAATTCCTGCCTCTTCCTTGCACAGAAGTCACATCAACTGGACAGCAGGAAGCAGTGACAGAACAAAGATGGAGGATCTCTGGCATTCACACAGCTCTTGTATCATGTCTGGGTCATTTCTGTTGAGTCCCAAAGACTTTCATACAGAAAGATGCACTAAAAAGATATGGAAAGGGATGCTCTTAAGATCTATGTTGCCTTAAAATTCATTAGTCAAGCAGTATTGGAAAGCTATGATGGTACAAGTATCAGGAGGTTGGACCTGGCCAAGGTGGGTTGCTGTGCACAGACAGGATAGTATGTATCCCCAAAGTCCGGTGTTCTTCAGAATCTTCCCTTTCTGGTCTATCCAATACTAAATCTTCTGGAACGTTATAAATTTATAGAAAATAGTGCACCTACCTGGCCATTTATACATATGAAGCTTAGTTTGGAAACAGAATGCATAATGAATTATGCACCTCTGTCAGGAAAGAAAAGGAAGAATGTTGCCTTAAAACAAGGTCAACCAAGTGATAAAAGTTACTACAAGGACCTCTAAAGGGGAAGGCATTGAGCTGGCTTCTGGCAGAGAAAGCATAGTCATTTGGAATGTAATTCAAGGACTTCAAGAGTGATGTGCACTGACCCTGTGATGCTAATGGGAGGTGTGTATGAGGAAGTTGTCTCTCGCAGTCCCTTACATGGTGAGCAGAAGAACACTGACATTGTGACAGAGAGTCATCCACAAGGTTCATGTTTGAGAAGCATGCCCTCCACCACAAAATAAATTACATGTAGCACAAGTGTGCCCCCATACACACTCATGATGTTTTAAGTAAGGTTATAACTATGGGTTGGACTATATTTCTAACTGTCCTTGTCTGTGTGCAGCCAGGGAGCCATGGGTTAGATAAGCCAATGAGATATAAATAAAACACCTTTCTGTCTGCTTTTTTGAAATTTAAAATCAAATAGAATATGCGACAACGTCCTACTATAAGGCTGGAAAGATGGCTCAGTGGATAAGGACAACACTTACTGTGTGCGCAAGTGTAGGAACTTGAGTTGGAATCCTAAGCTTGCACTTAATAAACCCAGGAGTAGAGACCTGCTTGTAACCCAAGAGCCCTGTGGAGTGGAGACTGGGAGATGGTTGGCTTTTGCTGGTTGCCAGCTTACCTGCAGTCCGAATAAGAAAACTTCGCTCAAAGGAATAAAATGGATAGCAGTAGAACAGGACTTTCAATGTTTTGAACCACACAAGCGCAGACATATGCACAGACTCTCTTACACACACACACACACACACACACACACACACACATGAATGCATGCATAGGCATGCATGCACACACATTTAATGAATAAGTAAAAAATTTAAATATTATTTTAAAATTATTATTTTGTATGCTGACTAAGAATGTTAGTGAAACAATGGACAGGAAGTGGAGCGTTGTCAAAGGACTTTCTGATGTGCTGGGGTTGTAATTTCCATTTATAAACAGGCGTCTTAAATTCATAGTGTAAGAGTTTTCTCTTCAATGAAATCAGTCTCATTATTCAGAAAGTTTATTCCACTTTAAAGTCTGCAAGTGAGACGTGAATCTTTCACCCCTGAGAGAAAATGTGTGGACACACAGACACAGCACAGAGACAAACGAGACAGAGAGAGAGAGAGAGAGAGAGAGAGAGAGAGAGAGAGAGAG